GATCCCCTGGATCAGCCCAAGATCCCCTGGATCAGCTCAGGATCCCTGGATCAGCCCAAGATCCCCTGGATCAGCTCAGGATCCCCTGGATCAGCCCAAGATCCCCTGGATCAGCCCAAGATCCCCTGGATCAGCTCAGGATCCCCTGGATCAGCCCAGGATCCCCTGGATCAGCTCAGGATCCCCTGGATCAGCCCAAGATCCCCTGGATCAGCCCAGGATCCCCTGGATCAGCTCAGGATCCCTGGATCAGCCCAGGATCCCTGGATCAGCCCAGGATCCCCTGGATCAGCCCAGGATCTCCTGGATCAGCCCAGTCCCCTCACTGCCCCAGTCCTTGCATGGATCTCCCCCAGCCCATCCTGAGCTCTCTTCCTGCATCCTCAAAAATCCTGAACTCCCCAAGTTTAGTAGCCATTTAATGTCTCCATTAGGAAACACAAAGGAAGATTATGGAATCACTGAGGTTGGAAAAGCCCTATAGGATTGTGGAGTCCAATCACTCTCCCAGCACTTCCAAGGCCACCACTAATCCGTGTCCCCAAGTGCCACATCCACATGATTTTTAAATCCAACTAGCAATGGGGACTCCACCACTGGAGCCTGTTCCAGTGCCTGACAGCCCCTTTCCATGAAGAAATTTTCCCTGATATCCAGCCTAGCCCTCCCCTTTCAAAACCTGAGGCTGTTCCCCCAGTCCTCCTTTTCCCCCAGGCTGAGCATCTCCAGATCCCGGTGCTGCTCCTTTGGGACCCATCCCTTACCTTGCTGGTGACTTTGTGGGGTCTCTTTTTRTGGGGCACACTTCCCGCCCGGCTGAACTGGCTCCCAGTTTGGCTGCAAGGAGAAAGAAGGAATGGAGCTGAGCTGGGCAGGGGTAGCTTTCCAAGCCATTCCCAAGAAAAAACAGGATTTTCTGGGAAGAAAAAAACTTCTTTGTGGTGTGACAATCACAAATCCTTTTGGTTCTTTGCCACAAAAGCCTCAATTCTGCCCCAAAACCAGCACAAGCAGGGTCAGGATAGATATTTTGGAAGCATGGGAAACCCTTTGCAATGAGAAAGCCGCTGACTTTAGAGAAAAACCATTGAAAAAAAAACCATGGGAAAAAAAACCGTGGAAATCATTTCATCCTGGGTGGTTTTGGGCTGCTCCTGTGGAATTCCAAGCCTCCCAAAGTTCAGCTCTTTAAATCCACCAAGAGACACCAGCCACTCTCCTCATCTCTGYGTGCCCCTTGGAGCTTCCTGGGATCCAAGGGGACATTCCTGGTGGATCCACATGTACCTGAAGGCTCCGGAGCTCACGGTTGACTTCATGCTGTCCAGTCTCTTGAGCTTGGCCAGCTTGTGGCTCCACCTTTCCAGCTCGTCGATGCGTGTCTCCAGGTTGTCTGTCAGCTTGCACAGCTCCTTCACTGCCCCCACGTTCTCCATGAAGATGCGCTCCTGCCGGGGRATAAGGACAGCAAACTGAGATGGATGGGTCTGGATGATCCATGGGTGCCCTGGGAGATCGACCCCTCGATTCCCAGAGCATCAGCCAGGCTGGGAAAGGTCAGGAAAGGAGGTGCTCCAGGTTATCCTGACACGAGCACCTYAAGGAAGGGGAGATTGGGACAAGGAGCCCTCCTGAGGGAAATGCTGCCCAAATTTCACCAGCATCAGGCTGGTACCACCCTACAGCTGTCCAATATCCACCCAGGGCTGCTCCCGACTTCTGGAAGACCAGCCAGGTCTGAAACTCATCTGAGAGCATTTCCCAGGCATCACAGTTTCCCTCTCTTCCATTCCCAGCTCCACRATTGCCTCCAGCCAGGCTCATCGTCCCCCTGACTCTCACCAACCTTGTTCACCACCAGGAAGTTCTCCAGGGTTTTCCCATTGGAAAAGACCAAGTCCCCAGTGTCCTTCACAGCTTCTGGGAGGATCTCCTTGACTTCCTGAGCAATGACACCTGCGTGGAGATGGAACAGTGGGATGGGATGGGATTGGGATGGGATGGGATGGGATGGGATGGGATGGGATGGGATGGGATGGGATGGGATGGGATGGGATGGGATGGGATGGGATCATCCTGCACCCCCTGGACACTCCAGGAGTGACACCAGGGGTGTCCCCTCCTCATTCCAAGCTGTGCAGGATTGAGCAGGGCTCCTTGGAGACCCTGAAGGGCAGAAGATGGCCAGACAAGGCTGGTTCCCAAATTCTGTGGACAGTGATCACCATCCTGCCATAGTATGGAGAAACCTTCTCCTGTGGGAAGCGTCCCTCACTAAAGAGSGAGTTTCATTGGATTCCTTAATTTAGGAGGTGAGAAGGCCCCTCTTGCCTACCCCACACCTGGGGAGCCATCCTGGGGCTGAGCTGGGTAAAGCCCCCGGGAAAGGCAGGGAATTCCTGTGGGTGTATTCCCATGGGATGTTCCTGTCTCAGAGGTGTATTCCCATGGGA